CCCGAAGAAACGTGCTTAACTTTTTGGCTCAGCTCTGGTACTCTCTTCGGTCCCAAGCTAATCGATTCACCCCTCGAAACATAGGAAAAACCAATAACCCCTCATTTTATCTGTCAAACTTTCATAGCGAATCAAAACAAAGATTGCGTAGTACTAGAATTTCGACTAGAATGGGATACGTTATTCGTTTGCTTGGGACCAATAGGCTAGTCAAGTAGTGAGCCAATTTAAAATCGTTAGTTTCGTATTGATTGTTGGTCGCACTGGAATCGGTCAAAGTTTGTGTTTGTTTTGATTCGCCTTATAAATTTGACAGAGTTTAATGAGGGGTTCGTGGTTTTTACTACTTTACTCGAGGGGTGCTTCAATTAGCTCGGGACTGAGTGTTTGAGTTCCAGATTCAGGATGTTGTCGAAACCTGGGGCCTTCATGTTTTTAGATGATTTGATATAGGCCAACAGTTCGTCAGCCGTAATCTCGGATTCCTCTGGAAAAATGTTAGGAATCTGAAGAAGATTGGTTGCATTTTCAGCAACCTCAGATTCATGAGGGCTGACGATGTTTTGTCCAAGATTATGGGAGCTGACGAAGTGTTGACCTATCGCGGCAGCCTTCTCATCAGGAGTTATCAGATGAACCACTGGGTCGCCGGGACGATCCAGTGGGGTCAGTGGGGGAATGGGTCTAGGCTTGTTTATAAGAATTTTTGTAAGTTTCCAGAAGGGCTTAGCACAATCTGGGAGAGAGCGGATCTTACTAGCAAAATCGTTATTTCTGAGAGCCTGAATGATCTTTGTTAATCGATTACAATTGGTCTTTAAGTTAGGCAGGCCAGTACGCTGGTACTGCCTACGAATGGTGTTACGGAGTCTAATGAGATCTTTGGTAGGGCTGTCAAGGTTCAGAGTGTTACTCACCTGTCTGGATACTGGCACGTGTTGTTCCCTGGCCCGGGAAATCGCCTCCTCGATGGTTTGAAGACACCGGTCAACATCTTCCGACGTCCCCGGTTGGACATCGTAGTCGATGGTTGTGTCGACGCAGTGTTGATATTGCGTCCAGTTGACTCGATGGTAGTTGCGCCGGGAAGCTTCGAATCGGTTTACCGAGGATCCAACTTCGGCCAACACCGGGTAGTGGTCCGAGCTCAGCTCCTGGAATGCCACAGGTTGCGAGACGTTGTGTCCCATGTTGCTTACGAAGATGTCGATGGTCGCATGGACCCCAGACCGACTCAACCGGGTGGGAGAGTCCGGGGCCAAGATGGTATAGTGGCCCTCTTGCAGGTCTTCATTGAGGATGATGCCGTTTCTATTGCTCCGACCGTTGCCCCAAGCTTGGTGTTTTGCGTTCAAAAGTTCGCGCTCCTCCGGGTGAGTTTGATAATGTCTTTGCGGAGGGCCACTGACGACCCGTCTCTGATGTTTGTGTGCTTGGGGCAGTAGGCCGCGATGATGGTGATTGGGCCAAGTGATGTGCTCACCTCCACTCCGATGGCTTCAATTGTTTTCAGCTGGAAGTTTGGTAGCAGCCGGCAACTGATGTTCCGTCTTGCAGCGATGGCCACTCCTCCACCTCCAGAGCAGGTGCGATCAAGTCTGACAAGCCGGAAGTCGGGAAGGAATACGTTCAGTTTGGGCTTCAGATGCGTCTCGGTGATGATAGCAATGTCGACCTCCTTGGTGTTGAGGAAATCCAGTAGCTCTCTATGCTTGTTCGTCAGTGAGCAAGCGTTCCAATTTGCAATTTTTATAGCTTCACGGTCCATACTTGGTGACGAGTGACAAGGCAGCATGAAGCTGTTCAGATCTAGTCTTGCAGGTACGCATGATGATGATGACCTCGGCCACGAGCGTCACAAGTTCCTCCGAGGTGAACGGAGAATCGTCGACAGGTTCACCTGAGACAGCAGCAGCGTATGATAAACCAGGGGCGGTGGGTGAACCTGGAATTGGCTGGGCCGCAGCAACACCAAGACGATGCTGAACTGTCCGACTGTTGGGAACCATTTGGATACTCGCGGGATTGGCTTGTTGGTTGTTGAGCGGAAGCGGGGCTAGGTTCGGAACATGTCGACGGGGCTGGAGAGCTAGGTACTGGACTTCCGTTAGTACAGGAGGCGAACGATGATTACGAAGGCGACCGAGCTGGTTGTTGATTGTGGCCTTCCGACGGATATTAATGAACTCCACTCGCTTTGGACATCCGCGATTGGAGGCTTGGTGGTTTCCACCGCAGTTGACACACGTTGGCTCGATGTCATCGACTTGCTCACAGGACGCAGTTGAGTGAGTTCCAGCACACTTGCCGCAGTTTGTCGTCATGTGGCAGTTTTTGGTACCATGGCCATATGAGAGGCAGTTCATACACTGCGTTACATCACGATGTTGGGGTTTGTAATGCTCCCAACTGATGATGACCTGAAACAGGTCCCGGATTTTGGATCTCAGAGCCGCAAGACTGGTGGATCCCTTCGTGAAATGAACCAGGAACAACTGATCACGGTAGCTGGTGTTTTGGTTGGGACGCCGGTTCATCTGGAACACGGCCTCAGGTTGGAGCCCAAGCCGCTCCAGCTCGGACTTCACCGCAGCAGCCTCGAACGACGGTAATCCACGCAAAACCACCTTCAGTGGCTTGCTCGATGGCAGATCATGCGTGAAGAAGTCCACGTTGTTGTTCTTCAGGAAACTTCCTATTTGTTTGTACTCCTCCAGGCTGGAGCACATGATTTTGGTACCGATGCTGCAAAGCTTGAAGCGAGGCAGCAGCTTGTGTTTTGCCAGTTCGGCACCCAGCTTGGCAACATCCTTCACCGGCGTGAAAAGCGGAGGAATCCGCTCTCGTCTTGCAATGGGAACGGCGTCACCATCGCCATTTTCTTCCGGGAGTACTGCATACTGGTTGGCTTGCAGTACTCGTTTTCCGGCGTCATCCTGCGACGCGCTGGGCTTGATTAGCACCTTCTTTGAAGGGCCCGCTGCTGGCTCATTGGCACGTTTACGCACCATTTGTTTCGTGTTTGCAAGTTCAATTAAACTTGCCAGAACGCGAGAAGGTGGCGACACTTCCACGGCGCAACGCGACAGCACAAAACGAAACAAAATCGAATCGAGAACTCGAGCGAAAATACGGACTGAACAGCTCGACAGTCGAGCAAAGAAATGCCGTCAATGAGCTTAGGTACCTCATATTTATACCTCTAGCTGTATCAAAATTTCCGAACCAATCAGATCCCGTTTACATACGGTCTATCACGCTTCACGCTCAGTTCATTCTACTCATTTCTATTCCACACTAACTCTACTACATTCTTCCCCTCTCCTACTCTCCTTAATTGAGGATCGGGGGCAATTTATCAACCCTCTCGGGGGAGTTTCACCTACCCTCTCGGGGGAATTTCTTCTACCTTCTCGGAGGAATTTCTTCTAACTTCTTTTAGGAATTTCATCTACCCTCTCGGGCGAATTTAATCTACCCTCTCAGGGAAGTATTTTCTACCCTCTCAGGGGAATTTCATCTACCCTTTCAGGGGAGTTTCAACTGTCCTCTCAGGGAGCGCCAGTAGCATCCTCGCAAGAAAGAAAATCGTTCTCACTTACCGAGTTGCACCAGTGTCGTGACTGAACCGAGGTTTCCAGCCTCGGTCACGGTTCCACGAATCTGCCGCTCCCTCTCTTGGTCCTCTAGTGCTGCTATCCCTTCTGCTGGTGCTCCTTTGCTGGTTGAACCAATCAGATCCCGTTTACATACGGTCTATCACGCTTCACGCTCACTTCATTCTACTCATTTCATATCTACTACAAAAGGGATACGTTAATCGATTTGCTTGGGACCAATAGGCTAGTCAAGTGGTGACCCAATTTAAAATCGTTAGTTTCCATCGGTTGGTTGTATTCTAGTGATAAACTGTATTTGTCCTTGCGTTCTAAAAATGGAGTGCACGTCTCGGACTTTAAGTGCAAAAATTCATTGGTGTTGATTCAAATGTTAAGGTCTTTGCATACCTATAGTAATCCTAATGATCCTAATCTATCAATTAATTTAAAGAAAAACAAATTTCAACAACTGAGTGAAAAGTTAATAGGAAATGAGCAGTTCGTGACCAAAACTGTGTATGCCAAGTATGTGTTATGCGTTAGCGCCTCGTAGTACAAGAATTCTGAACATATCTGTCCACCATCCGAAAGAACCCCTAGAACATCTTTGCCCAAGACGCCAACTTCCTAGATGACCAGGATCTCGAGAAACAGTTTTTACAGGAAATTCACATGCACACTAGTGAGTAAATTCAGAACTAATAAGCCCAACATCAACAAGGTCTTAACCTACTGAATAACTTTCTCCAAGATAGTAACCTACTGTATGGCCAGGATCACGAGATATTTGACGAACTCTAGGAGCTTCTGAAAGTAAAAATTATATAAATTTATCTGAGAATTTTTAAAGGATTCACAACTACATGAACTGCAGCACTGTCAGGACAATATCAACTGCAACAATCTGATTTTCAGACGAAACTTGTGGTACTTTAACAACACTTAGAACTTTGAATACTTTCACAGCGTCTAAAACTTCTAAAACTGTGGGAACTCTAGAAATTCCAAGCACTCGAGATCCTTACTAACTTCCAGAACTGTCAGAACAGCATAAACTCTGAGAGCTTTTGGAAATTTAATTAATCTCTAATCACACAAACTGTTTCTCCCATCCCCAGAAGGTGCCAATATTGCGAAGAGAATCGATAATATTTGAAAATTATACATAATGCACGTACTGTTCAAGTTTTTCAAATGAACGTTGGTCTTGCTTAACCCGAGCTTCCTCTATTGCAACCGAATATGACGTGAGTTAGAGAGCGAGCGAGCGAGAGAGAGAGTTCAAAGAGCAATGTATTATCCATCGTAGCGTAGCGTAGCCAGAGCCACGGGCCATAAGCACAGCCAGATAAGACAGACCACAAGCCAAGCCAGCGCTATAGCTTACAAACACCGGATCGATCCATACACCGACACACAACGAATCGAATAATAAGCAACTCATAACTAGCGTTCAAAGATTGAAGACGTACCACCGGTACGGGTGAAGAGTTATACAGACAACAGTTGGAAGTGAATTTTCCACCAAATCCAGTCATTTACCATTAGAAAATCTAATCCAAAAACATGGGCTTCAAATCGAAAGTGTTCAAAGTGTCATTGTTCGTGGCGCTAGTGGCTGTACTGCCAGGTCTGCCACCGTATCCATCGTTCCCGTTCAAAGCATTCAGGTAAGATCATAAACTCACCCACCGCATAGGGTGCATGGGGGCACAAAACTAGCCATGATTTACTTTTCAGCGTAACACCGCCGCGAAAGCTGGAAGGCATCCTCGCACCCAACCAGCTTCTCAACAATCCAGAACGTTGGCTCGAGAATCAACTGGTAGCACCGGAATCGATCGTCGTTCGGGGCAATACAACATACGCTTCCATGACCGGTGGGAAAATCGTGGAGATCACCAGCGACGATCAAATCCGAGTGATTACCAAATTTGGAGTTGAGTGCAGTGAGTATGATCTTAGTAGAATCCTGTGTTCTAAGAAATTTCATTTTGCGCTGTATCCACCAACAGAGGGTACCTACCATGAACGAGAGTGTGGACGCCCACTTGGAATAGCCTTCGACACCCAGGGTAACAACCTGATCGTGATGGAACCGTACTTCGGAGTCTACCAGGTTCAGATCAAAACCGGCGAAAAAAAGCTCTTGATCCCAATGGACCAGATCATCGAAGGTGGTAAAGTATCCCGGAAGCCTGGAATTCCCGCGAACTTGGAAGTGGCGCGAAATGGTGACATCTATTGGTCTGACATGTCGTCGGATTTCCGCTTCGAAGATGGTATGCAAGCGATGTTGTTGAACCCATCGGGTCGTTTGCTGCACTACTCACGAGCTACCGGCAAAAACCGAGTTCTGATCGATGAAGTCTACGGTGCAACCGGAGTCGCTCTCAGCAAAGACGAAAGTTTTGCTCTCGTCGCGGAGCTTGGGGGTCAACTGATCCGAAGGTATTACCTGAAAGGACCGAAAGCAGGAACCGACGACATCTTCATCGATGGTCTACCAGGACAGGTCGATAATCTAGTCCAGGATGATACGGGTCTTTGGGCTGCTCTACTGATTGCCGTAGACGAAAGTAATCCATCGCTGCTGGCCAAGTTGGCACCGTTCCCTAATGTGAGGAAATTCCTCGTTCGCTTGATGAGCATAGCGGAACTTCCGTTCGACTATATCTACCAGCAGACGGGAAGTCACCTTGCCCTGCGAGTGTCCAACTTCATCGGGAATTTCGAAAGTTTGGCGGCGCTATACCCGAAACGTGGTACGGTTCTACGGCTGGATTGGGAAGGCAACATACTGGCAGCTCTGCACAGCGACGATGGCCACACGAATATGATTGACCACGCCGTGCAGAGTGGAGATTATCTACTGCTCGGGTCTCCCGTGCACAATTCGATTAGGAAGGTTAAGCTAACCGAAGAGGTGTTGAAGGTTGTGTCCCCTCCCGCAAGGAAGGTGCAGCCAAAGGTGGTGGTGGTGGATTCGAAGAAGGAGAAACAAGCGGGACATGAAGAGCTGTGAAGGGGTGAGGGATGAGGATATAGGTTTGTCTTAGAATTCGGGGTGAATAAAATTGCGATTCAGGTTTGAAAATGTTTGAGGAATTTTTTATTTGATAATCTGTGATTACTGCGAAGAGCTCCAAGGTGGAATTTTGTTGTTGTTGGCCAATTCCACAATACTCGACTATTTCTAGGCTGATTCTTGATCAATTCTCGCTGGAATCTCGATAATTTATCGTATCGTTCGAACAGTTTAAAATGAAGTTTCCTACCTCTCGAACTTTGCAACGTATAACAATATTTTGATATTTTTGTCTTCAAGAACCTCGAGAAAATTATGCTAAGCTTGAACAATCTGGAACTTATTGCTTAATGTTCATAAAACCACTGATAAAAAGTCGTCCCAAAACTGCTAGAAAATGCGATTCATTTTAGTCCGATTATCGATCAATTCCCAACGAATTTTAGATGAATTTGCCACCAATTTCCAATTTTTTTATTTACTTTATTCAAATATCTATTTTTGTAGGATTAATTCTACCCAACTATCCAAAAATAACGGTTTTTGGACAAAATGTTGAATTAAATATATAAGGACATAAGGTCGAATGGAGATGGACAAAATGTCGACTGCAATTTAACCAGACAAAAGGTCGAAATGGATAAAAGGAATAAAATTTAGAAGGACGAATGGACATGGAGAAGGGTCGAATGAAATTTAATGGGACAAAATTTCAACTACAATTTAATGAAACAAAAGGTCGAATGGACAAAAGGAATGCAATTTAGAAGGACAAAATGTCGAATGAAGTTTAATGGGACAAAAGGTCGACTGCAATTTATTGGGACAAAAGTTCGAACGGACAAAAAGTCACAAAGGACAAAAGATCGATGGGAAAAAAGGTCATAATAGCCAAAGGTCGAATGGAAAAGAAAAATAAATTAAATTAAAAAGATTTTTTTAAGGATATGAGGGCGAAAAGATATGAACAAAAGATCGAATGAAATTTAATTGGACAAAATGTCGACTGCAATTCAATGAGACAAAAGGTCGATCGGACAAAAAGTTGAATGAAATTTAATGGGACAAAACGTCAACTGCAATTTAATGAGACAAAAGGTCGAACGGGCAAAAAGTGGAATTGGACAAATTAAAAACAATTTAGAAAGACAAAAGGTCGAATTGACATTAACAGAAGGTCGACTGCTATTTAATGCGACTAAAGTTAAGTTGAATTTTCTTTATTAAGTAAGCGTTCACCCTGGGGCTGTTTCGCCTCCGTTGTGACAAAAGGTCGAACGACCAAAAAGTCGAAATGGGCTGAAGGTCGAATGAACAAAAGGTCGAATGAAATTAAAATGAACAAAAGGTCAAATGCTCAAAAGATTTAAATGGACAAAAGGTCAAAAAAGGTCAAATATCTTTTACTGGATCAATGAATAAAAATAATAAAATGTCAGAAAGGAAATATGCTATGTAAAGCAAGTAAATCAAACTTTGACTTTGGGTAGCCTAACTGAAATACACGAAGGTTATTTCTCTCTTTCTCTCACTCTCTCTCTCTTGAAGATAACTCCTAAGAGGCTTGATGGAGCCTCGCTCGCGAGTTTGAAATGAGCCGAGTGTAGCATTTTTCTGAGGAGTAGAATGCCTACTGCCAAATCATTTTTAACGATTTTTGTAGCATCAAAATGGCACCCTTAACGAGTTCAGAACCACTTGTAACCATTGTAGGATGGTGCATTGTCTTGTCATGTGGGTGTGGAGAATGACAATAACGGGATCAAAATGCGTTTAGTATGCTTTTTTGGGGTTCAACCGAAGTGAAAAAAATGCATTTTTAACGATTTTTGTAGCATTAAAATGGCACCCTTAACGAGTTCAGAACCACTTGTAACCATTGTAGGATGGTGCATTGTCTTGTCCCGTGGGTATGGAGAATGACAATAACGGGATCAGAATGCGTTTAGTATGCTTTTTTGGGGTTCAACCGAAGTGAAAAAAATGCATTTTTAACGGTTTTTGTAGCATTAAAATGGCACCCTTAACGAGTTCAGAACCACTTGTAACCATTGTAGGATGGTGCATTGTCTTGTCCCGTGGGTATGGAGAATGACAATAACGGGATCAGAATGCGTTTAGTATGCTTTTTTGGGGTTCAACCGAAGTGAAAAAAATGCATTTTTAACGATTTTTGTAGCATCAAAATGGCACCCTTAACGAGTTCAGAACCACTTGTAACCATTGTAGGATGGTGCATTGTCTTGTCCCGTGGGTGTGGAGAATGACAATAACGGGATCAGAATGCGTTTAGTATGGTGCATCGGTCGTATGAGAAAACGAGAGTTCCCAGTCTTCTTAATATGTTGTCTTCGACTTTATTCATTTTCAAAAAAAATTGAACTTGGAAATCCGGATGGCCAATATCAAAACGTACAAAAGTTTCATACATCATTTAACGGAATTCTGTTGATGGTAAAAGTTAGAGGCAAATGAATGTAAATGAATGCACAAAATGAATGTAAATGATTTGCCATGCCTAATTCCCGGTCCGATCTAGGAATGTTTCGGTTTGGAACATTTCTCGACGTTCCTGGGCATAGAGTAGGATTGTACTTGCCACACAATGCAAAATGGTACACGTATCAAAAGTTCTCAATTAATAACTGTGGAAGTACATCTAGAACACTAAGTTGAGAGCTACAATGCGAAGAAAAAGAAGAATAATTATTAAGAAAATTTGTATATTTGGAGCTAGGACAGGACGCGTCAGCCCAAATGTAGCATCCCTGTTGTAATTTAACGTTTTGTGGCACGTAGTTCCGTCCAGTGTTGCCAAATTTGTGGTTTGTTTCGAAAGATACGAGGCTTTCTTGTGTTATTTTCAGTCAATCAGAAAGCGGTCTCCGTTTGACACCAAATTGGTCTCAAAATTTAGCATGAGCTGACCCCACCCAGATTTGGAGTTATTATTTTTTAACAATCCTGCACATACAAAATTCAAGATTTAACAACAATAGAAAATTGTCAAGATCCAGAATAGAAAAATATTCCAGACTATAGATTTCAAAACAGTTTCAAGTTCAAGAATTTTGAAAAAAATCAAGATTTTATACTTGAACCATTTTCAAAATTCTTAATAAACAATTTTTAAGGTCTTCAATCCTCATAACTTGAGTTGCTGATGCGGGATTTAGAAACAAATGTAAGATGCCAAAAAGATGAAAAATTATCTTGGATTTCACCATATAGGGTTACGGTATGTAATGTGGGTCTAGTCCTTTCATTCGGCCTATCACGCAAATAAATAATTAATTAAGGAATATTACACAAAAAATAAGGAAAATATTGATCACTGATGGTTGATAAATGTGTACCACACACAAATCAATTTATATCACAACATTTCAATACATTTTCAGCTCTCGTAAGTAATAAAACTGGTTGAGAATATCACAATGTTCGGAGTTTTTAGCCGCCATGACTTATAAGGTTAAGATGGGAAGGTTGACTGACGATCATCAAATGGCCTGATTATGGCATTTATTGATTGGAATTACCTGATAATACACACTAGACGTAAAACTTACAGTTGCTGTTTGAATATTTTATGTTTATTTTAATTGTTTAACAACGTTTTCACAAGTAAAACATGGACCCAACTTTAGGGACACATTTCTTTTCTATGTTCCTAACTTTGGCCCATGAAATTCATTTGACAGCATATAGCAATAAGAGTAACGTCAACAATGTTGTTTTGCATTTGGATGATAAGGAACGAACAGGAAGGGAGATTTTTTCTGCCAAACCTGTATAATGAACATCACAATGTTCTGATTTAGATATTCTGCGGTCAAAAGACGATAAGCGAAATTTTTAATTTTTAATTTTTAAATTGAGTGATTTAATGTAGTTTTCGTAAAATTTTCTCTAAGAAATGTTTTGAGGAATGAAGAGCATTAAGTTAACAGTGATAGTGATAAAAAAAAATACATCAGAAAACGTTACCAAGAGCGTTTTTTTGAGGATCAAACAAGATAGGACGAAGTTGCATCCATAAATAGACCCAATTTGGGGACAATAGACCCATATTACATACATTTCCCTCGTGAGTTATTGTCTTAAAAAAAGTAAGTTTTTCAACTTTTCGTGGTTTCTGATAGCAAACGACATGATAAGCATATCTAAGCATACCATTTAGCAGTAGAATATCGTTTGCAGGTAAATTCATTGATGAGTTATGATTAAAAACGTAATCGATGGCTGCATATTAGACCGAGGTTAGGGACGTATACCCTATTCAGAATTCTGAGGCTTAGCAGATCTTGGATTTTTTTATAGAACAAATTTTAAAGATCCTGTACAGATCAAAACTTTAACCATCAAGAAATATCAAAAACTCTAAACCTAGATAAATTTTCTAAATAAATTAAATTCAAAATAGGTAAACTAAATATTTTTAGGACGTTTTCGCGGTTCAGTGGCCACCCTGGACACATTTTTAAGATCCTCAATACTTATGACTTGTATTGCAGATCCCACAAGAAAATAAAAAAGATCTTTAACTTTACCTAACATTCAGAATTCTGATACTAATCAAAATTTTGAAAACCCTAGAGTATAAAAAGACGAATAGAACAGTTAAAAATCCCAAACTTTAAAAAAGTTGCATACCTTGGATTTAGATGAATGAGGAAATGAGGAAGATATGGAATTTATTTTCAAGATTCTAGGACATCAAGAATTCAAATTTTCATATCCTGGAACTCCGAAAAAAATTGAGATCTCTGATTTGGACAAATGTTTAAAATCCTGAACAGATCAACATATTTCAAAATTCAGTCACCTCAAAAAATCATTACGATCTTAAACTATGAAAAAAATTCACAAAATACCTAGATAAATTTTCAAATAAATTAAGATGTAAATTAGTACACAAAATTATTTCAAGGATGCGATCAAATTTCCAGTTGTTCTAAATTCCCGGTTCAGTAGCCATCCTGAATTTGCCCCCAATTCCCGAACCTTTTTTTTCACTCCATTCAAACATAATTTTTTTTTGCGATCCAAAAATAACTCCGTCTCCCCTATAATATCTATACTCTTCACGGTTGGAGAAAGCTAACAAGAGCCAAGCATTATCCAGCCAAGCCAGCTGATGCACTGTAGACAAGATAGACCACATCAGAAGCTCACGAGCAGTGGATTGATCCACACCACGCTCATACCAACAACAACAACAACAACCGAACAACTAAACCAAAAGAGTGCCCAAGAATCAGAAATCGTACGGTATAAATTTCAACAACCGACAACCGAGTCAAGTGTGTAGGCCGGTTTACCTACTAGACTGTGGAAAGCAGGTTGAGGAGAAGGTGCTGTTGTAGACTTAGTGCCGTGTTGAGTCTCTAGCAAGAACAAGACCAAGACCAAATCCCAAACATGGGTTGCAAATCCAAAGTGCTGAAAGTGGCACTGTTCGTGGTGATAGTGGCCGTTCTGCCGGGCCTTCCACCCTATCCAACGTTCCCGTTCACGGCGTTCCGGTGAGATCATCCTTTAAAATTGATAAACACATTCGATTGCAGCAGGTATTTATGGGTTGGAGTGTGTGCGCAGCGCAGCTGTTCCGTTATTCGAGCGATGGAGTCTCTGAAAAGCGAAGAATTAGTGAAACCTCCGCTGTTTGAGATTTTCTGTAGCCAAACGAAATGGCGTTGAAGAAAATGACTCGAATCGACGATCGAATCTTGCCTTGAAGTGTAATTATTAACTTTTCGAAAGAAGTAAACGAAGAGTGTTTGCCATCATGACGTTAACTTTATATTCTCGATTGATCGCGTCATTCGGATGTGTACTTTTTTTTCTTTTAAAATAACTTTGAATTGCGCTAGTTGCCGGATCATCGTGCAGTGGTATGAAGGTTACACGTGTACGAAAAACGATAAGTCAATATCGAGTTGTAAGTAAATAGTTGTTTTTGGGACTCAGTGATACTTTTCGCCAACTATTTTGAATAACATAATCGCCTGCTTTTCTTAATTAAATATCTAAAAAGCTACTTTCTAAAATCTTTTGAGCGCAAAAACAAGTTGCAGGATGAATATTTTTTCAGCACGAGTCGAATTTTGCAACGAGTTACATTACCAAATTTTTCTGCTCTCAAAAGTTTGTCGAAAAGTAGCACTTTTCGGTGCAGATATTTTAGTTAGGAAAAGTAAGCCGTTAAACTATTCTTAAGTGTGTCATGTGTTATGAAACTTGAAAATTTTTCATGTCGCAGAATCTACCCTTCTATGGTTGGAATTTTGAGTTCACGTCCGGCGTATAGAAGATTTTTACAAGTTTGAGATGTCACACATATCACTGTTGCACTTTTCAGACTAGACTAGTCCAACAGTTTTCCTAGATTTCTAATTTATGGATTAACTTGACTATTTTTTCAGAATTTTTCACTGAATAATCTTTTAAATTTTCTCTAGGGTTTCCTTAGGATAATTCCAAAATGTCTTCAGAGGAACTTTCAGGATTCCCCTCAATAATCTTATGATTCACTACGGTATTCTGTGCAGACAGAACAGTTTAGGAATTCCCTCCAGCGAATTCTTGAAATTCAGTCTACAATTAACTTTCGTGGGACTTTGCTTCAATTTCTCTCCATGATTATCTTTGAAATTCATTTGTATTCTTCCTCATAAATCTCTTGGTTTTCTCCATTTTGAATTTAGAAAGTATTTTCCCAGAATTTCATTGGAATTTACTTCAGGTTAGCTTTCCTGAGAATAACTTTGAAATTCATCCCAAAATTCCCTTAAGAAAATCTCTTGGAATTTTCTTGGAGTTCACTTCAGAATATCCACATTCATCAGGATTCTGTTTAAGTGTAAAATATCTAAACTAAGTGAGTTCCGTAAACCGAGCAAGTTCCGAACACCACGCGAAACAGCATAAAACAGCTAATTAGCAGAGTACCACTAAAATAAATGTGATAGCCTATATTGGCAAGTTGATTTATTTTGGTTTCCTACCTAAATATTCTACTACTAGGTATACTGCCGTCATACGCATAAGAGTCCCACGGTGCATAAGGATTGCATAGGACATGGGACAGTTATGCGGCCGTATAGAGATTCTAAGATTTCGCGTCCGTGCCGACTAAATTCCAAAACCTACATAAGCCCAGAACGCGTTTGGTAAGCTCTATCGAATTGCTCATTACTAAAGGGGTGTTTACACTTATGCTATTGCACCACCGACAAACCGATGTAACCCGACAGCCTTACGAGTTTCCCGTTTGTTTTAGGAAAAATGGCTTAAGGCCGAGGGAGACCATCTACCGAGACTAGGGTTGCCCGACCGCATGAGACCTTTCAGGGAAGGTTCTGTTTTCTCCCAAGTGAATGGGGGGAAGCAAGTTGGCTATCGATCGATTACGGTAAGGACGGGAATGCTCACGACCTATTGTCGTGAAAATCAATAAAACGAATGGAGCATTCACGAAAACGATTTCCGTCAACGATCAGATAGAGAGATATCCTGGTTGGTTTCGGGGCCAACTTCCCCAGTAAAACTCTGTTAAAACCTCAAAAGAAAACGACCGGAAACGTGAAAAAGCCTTACACTCGCCTTTCTAGATCCCTTCGGAAAAGAATGCATCCAGTCGGCCGGAAAAGCCGCGATGTCCCAGATATTGACGAATAGTTGATGCAACATTTGTGAGGATAGTATGTGGTCCGCTTTGAGCATCTCTGCATCTCCACCCCCGGGGCTTTGTTGGACTTCATACTTCGGATGGCTGCTTCTATCTCCTGCAATGATGGAGCTTCAGTGTTGACGCGAGTAACGCGCCTCACCCTTGGTGGATCATGCCGAGATGTTGATGGTTGGTTGATCGCTGAAACTTTGAGAAGTTGTTCAAAGTGTTCAAACGGTGAGCAACTGTCCAGTCGCGTCTTTCACAGGCATCCTTGGGATCATCCTTGCCCCGCTCAGGCGTCGTGAAACATCATAGAGGAGGCGGATATCGCCAGTTGCTGCGGCTTTCTCCCCTTCATCAGCCAGGGAGTCCACCCACGCTCGCTTGTTCCGTATACAGGAACGCTTAACTTCCCTCTCTAGAGCCGAATACCGGTGACGGGGCTCGTTCTTGGCTCCTCGGGTCCTTGCTCGCTCTATCGCGGCTTTTGCTCCTTTCCGCTCCTCGATCTTCCTCCAGGTTTCATCGGTAATCCACTCCTTCCTCTGAGTGCGCAACTCACCCAGGTTTTTCTCGCTTGTTTCAATAAAGGCATTCTTGCTGCTCGCCCCTCTGTTCTTCTACGCTGCCACCTTCCGGAATATTAGCCTCGAGTTCTTCGCCGAACGATCTCTTCACTGCTGGGTCTTTCAGTCGGTGTGTGTTGAATCGCCGCCCGAGTCTCTCCTCTCGCCATTGAACCCGCGCAATGCGTAGGCGGATCTCACCGACCAGGAGATGATGATCAGACGCGATGTCAGGGCTGCGTTTATTCCGAACATCAAGAAGGCTTTGTCTTGACGTTGGTGGGAGGGCTTAATCTCATCACCGACAAACCGACATGACACTTACTTATGACTTATGCTCGAAAATCGTAAACGGCCGATTTAAATGTGCAGTGATCCGTACTGTTAAAACCATACGATTTTTTGATCTAGATAAACATAATTTGTCCAGAATAGATCAGACACGAACCAAGTTATAACTTGTGCATGCGGTTTCATGGCTTAGCTAAATGTTTCCCGCGAATACGGAGCCAGATGTCAGTAGTGTGCTTTGGTCAGAATTTTTATTGTTTTTGCTATGGTCATTCATGTCGGTTTGTCGGTGATCTCATGTCATAATGGAGCATTGGAGATGGTGGGTTTATAGCCGGCATCTCTAGCTCATGTACACGAAACGAAAATCAATTATTGTATCCATGTGTTTCACTCATACATTTTTGCCAAAACATCAGCCTTATACATTCCATAAGACAAACCACATAGGTCCTATAAGAATGCATAAAAGGTATGTGTGACCGCTTATACATTTCATTTGACACATGCTCTTCATTAACTTTTTGCAAAGCGTCTGCTTATTATAGTACGTTCAGACTACAGAGTTATAACATGTTATAGTGCTATCTTGATGGTGGTTTCTGTGTTGCAATTATTTGACAACCGTTATAACATGTTATAACTGCTCAGTCTGGACAGCGTTTTAGTTGACTTATACATTTTATGAATAATGAGCAATAGAAATTTGCCAAAAGGTATAAAGAGATTTCTATCCGTGTAGTGGCAGTGTGCCGTCATGGACGGGCGTTGTGGATTAGTGAGCCTTCCGTCTCTGACGAACCATATGGCTTGAGAGAACCAAAGTTCTAGCCGCTAGTGACAGTATCACACCTGTATATATTGACGTAGGACTACGTCTGTGATTTCTATATGGGGGTACACTTTGTGAAAACCAAAAATGGAACATGTAACAAAATTATGAAAGATTTTAAACGTTAATAAGTCAGCTGCCCCTGGACCAATATCAATAATTTATCACCAATGGATCAGAAATATTTCTACGCATCTGCTAAATTAAAGACTTTATCAGTTTTCAAATGTCACTATTGAAAATTGCACGAATGTGCAATTGTTGCTATAATAATTAAAATTATCACCGATTACCTTCGAAAAGCGATTTCCCTAACACAGATTGTAAAGTTGAATTCCATCCGGTCTCACCGAATGGTGTTTAATCGATCACCGTGTGGTGAGGCTCCCCGCAAGCAGCTAGCTATCAAGGCTACTCTCAACCGCTGATCGGTTTCAGTCTGCCGATTGCATGCCGCCGTACGTCTTGCTCATCCGGATTGACATCGGGACATCTCCCAGATCACAGTGTACCTTCAACGCACTTATCAGCTCCTCTTCTGTAGTGATCTCGTCCAGACTCCTTTACTTGACCACTGTCTCCTGGAATAGAGCTCTTACGCCGTGTGCCGTGCTGTCCGGTCGTCGGCATCAGCAGCAGCAGTGCTTTCAGCGCGTGGCGTTGAATATTGTTCCCCACAAATCCCTAATAAAGACTGAGCTTCTGTGAATTTCTCCTACGGATCCGTATTTCTGCAAAATTCAATCAATCCTACGGAAAATTTCGTATAACCGACATCACTGACATCTGTTTTGCTTTTATTCAACACAGCTGATGCGTTGACAGAACCAGGGAAAAGCAACTAGTGAAAAAATTGCATGAACGAGGGATGCTCCGGTTGCTAAACAAACTTCGGAATGTACATGATAGAGGGTGCTAGTGTGCATGCAAAATAGGCTTAACGATATGTTTTGAAGAATTGTCTTCTAAGAGTTATGTCTGTTTGTCTGGGATAAAACTTTCAAATACCCTACAATAGACGTAAAATCGATGGCTGACGCCACTTTTGGAATCCGGCATTTCGGCATTCTGAATTATCGGCATCTACACGACGTCTTCGTTCTGAAAACAACCAAATTGTAGAGTATTTTAGTTTTTCTTAAGCAATGGCCACCATCTTGGATAACAAAATGACGTCGGACATAGTTTTTCGGCATCTACACATCGTTCCGGTTCTGAAAATACCCATATTGTAGGATATATGATAGTTTTTTTTTTAACCGAGAGTCATGATTTTGAATTCGATTTTCGGCATCTACACATCGTCCCGTTCTGAAAATATCCATATTATAGGGTATTTGACCGTTTTTATGAAACAAATGGCCACCATCTTGGATTCCAAAATGCCGTCAGACATCGATTCTCGTAATGTACACGTCCCGTTCCGAAAATACCCATATTGTAGGGTATTTGACAGTTGATCTGAAATCAATGGCCGCCATCTTGGATTCCAAAATGGCGTCGGACATAGATTTTCGGCACTTCCAGTCGTCCAGTCCGTTCCAAAAATACCCATCACTAGAAATCACTTAGGTACTTCCAAACACGAAGTTCAGCATCAAGATTCAAGCTACTTCGAGTCAGAGGGGAAATCCCTTCAAAACAACACAATTCCAGTTATTTCAATCTTGTTATGTCTCGTGTGCAAAGCGACCTGCATTTACTAAAAAAAAAGGACCGACTTTTTCGTCAATAACCATGTCAACAGTTTGTATGGGAGACCCCGAGGGGGTCAAGCTTGCCTTACTTTTTGTTACATGGGGGTATTGGGAAATGTTACGTAAAAGATTGACCAAAGCGACACAAACATAAACTACGGGTAACTCCGCTAGCCTACATGATCAAGATTGTGCCAGGATGTCAAAGAATCATTCAAATTGCAGTCTGAAAGCGTCATTATTTAAGTCTCAGCATCATGAAACGATTCTTAATTCTGTAATCAATATTTTTCCTCTGTCCGAGATCATGAACATTTTCGTTAATCTGAACTTACTTGGAACCCTTCACAGGATATCTTCGACCTTTTTTCAAGAGTTCTCTTTGAATACTCCTAGAATTTCATCATACTTCTATTCTGAATTCCGTGGTTTGAATTATCAAGATTTCGCTAAATTTTGTCTCCATTCTTCTCTGTACAATTCCATTGGAATATTCTTGATAATTTCCTAGGTGCACCCTTCAGAACTACACTGACAATCTTCTCAGACTCATCCGATAATTAGATTTAGAACTGCTTTAGAGGTAAGGTCAGAATTAGCGAATCAGTATTTCGTGCGATCAAGCATAACATCCAAACTGTTGCAGCCAGGGAATTTCATCGATGAAAATTAATTTATCATCGTCCTATTTTCAGCGTGACACCTCCGCGAGACCTGGAGGGCGTCCTCGCGCCAAACCAGCTACTGAACAATGCAGAACTTTGGCTCGAGAATCAACTGGTTGCACCGGAAACCATCCTGGTCCGAAGCAACACAACGTACGCTTCCGTTGCCGGAGGAAAAGTCCTCGAGATCAGCAAAAACGACCAAGTCCGGGTGGTGGCCAAATTCGGAGTGGAGTGCAGTGAGTAGCATTTCGATTAGATCCTTGCAGTAAATTAACTTCGCATTCTTCTACTTGACAGAGGGAACGTACGATGAACGAGTGTGTGGCCGCCCGCTCGGATTGGCTTTCGACACTCAGGGTAACAATCTGATCGTGATTGAACCTTACTTCGGCATCTACCAGGTGCAGATCAAAACCGGCGATAAGAAACTGCTAGTTTCGTTGGATCAAGTCATCGAAGGTGGTAAGGTGTCCCGCAAACCAGGCATTCCCAACGGCTTGGCGGTGGCGCGGAATGGAGACCTCTACTGGTCAGATACGTCATCGGATTTCCACTTTGAAGATGCCCTGCAGGCAATGTTGCTGAATCCCTCGGGTCGCCTGCTGCACTACTCGCGAGCTACCGGTAAAAACCGAGTCCTAATCGACGAAGTCTACGGTGCTAACGGAGTTGCCCTCAGCAAAGACGAAAGTTTTGTCCTGGTTGCAGAGCTCGGTGGTCAGCTGATTCGCAGGTACTATCTGAAAGGGGAGAAAGCAGGAACCGATGACATCTTCATCGATGGACTGCCAGGATCGATCGATAATCTAGTTGGGGATGATACGGGATTGTGGGCTGCGGTGGTGATTGCCGCTGATAAGCAGAATCCTTCGCTGCTGGCCATGCTGGCACCGTTCCCAAACGTCAGGAAATTCCTCGTTCGCTTGATGAGCATCGCGGAACTTCCGTTCGACTACCTCTACCAGCAGACGGGAAGCCACCTAGCCCTGCGAGTGTCCAATTTCATCGGCAATCTGGGCAGTGTGGCTGCGGTGTTCCCGAAGCGTGGCACCGTTCTACGACTGGACTGGGAAGGCAACATACTGGCAGCACTGCACAGCGATGATGGCCGCACGAATCTGATTGCCCATGCCGTACAGAGTGGAGATTTCCTTCTGCTTGGTTCGCCCATCTATCCTTCGATCAGGAAGGTCAAACTCACCGAAGAAGTACTGCAGATTGTGACTCCCGGAGGGCGAAAGCCACTGCCAAAAGTGACGGTTGATACGAAGAAGAAGAAGAAGCAGATGGGGCATGAAGAGTTGTGAAGAAATGTATCGATGTGTGCTTTTTATATTTAAGGGTAAATAAATTCGGGATTGAGTGTGACAAATGTTTTTCGAGAACTTATTGCGTCCGAAATTTGGTCATAACGTTTGCATAGGGTTTTAAGGCTGAAAGGAAAGATCTCCGCGGTCATTTCTAACCGAACAAGGGCAGTTTCGGATCCAATGACGACCCCGGTTTCTTCAAATATAACTCTGTGCATTTTAATGGAATTATTATTGTGCCCTACTTGTAATATGATAAATATACTGCTGGAAAGTCTTTGTTTAAATATCGCTTTCGTAATATAATAATTAGCATAATCAGAGAATCCAGTAGGTTACTTTCTTACCTTGGTGTACATCATTTTGAAGTTGATCGAATCGTGTCAGGGATCCACCACCTGCAGACACATCAACTGCAGGCGCATGTTGTTCTTGATCTGCCGAACCGTTTGTTGGATTCTGCGATAAAAGAAGCGAAGAGATCATTAAGTTCCGGAAATTCAACGGAAGTTAGACTGACGACTCACTGTTCCTCGCTTTCCGGAACCTGTGGAATGGCTTCCAGTGCCTCAACGAAAAATGATCTGAAAAAGTAACCGGCTAGAATTGACCTTCATCTTAAAATTCCCTCTCGCAAAACTCACTTAGCCGTATCGTTGCTGTAGACCCGAACCGCGTCCCGTATCACGTGGATGTCCACTTTGGCCTGCAGGGCACCATTTACGTTGAACTTCTGAACGCAGCTCATCAGCCGGGCCAGTTCTTCCGCCACTGTCTGGACGATCGGTTCCAGCACCGGCCGGAGCAGGACCGGCGAGATGGAGAATATCTCCGAGTAAACCGACACCAGATTGTCGCAGCACTCGTGCGCGTAGGGACTGAGCTTGTCCGAGGTACCGACCTGGTCCCACTGGAAGCGACCGATGTACATGGACGGTTCGATCGTTCCCACCAGGGGATCGCTCTTGTGCTCAACGTACATGTCCAACAGACTGCTGAACAGGGAATTCACCGTCGAGCGGGAATTTTCGATGGCGATCGTCGGGACCGGGTAGTGGTGCCTAAAATGGTAGATTTTTTAGTTCGATTCAAGTTCCGATACGACAAAACATTACTTGGTAAACATTCCTCCCAGCTTGGGGAAGAAGATCTTATTGCAGTAGATACAGTTGGACAGGCAGCAGAGCAGCCGTTGCTCCCAGGTGATGCTGGAACCCCAGCTCTTGTCGCCAGATATCTGTTGCTGGATCAGCGCAGCAGGGAAGCCGATCAACTGCGACAGCATCGGTGCCTGCTGGGGGTCCTCGTCCGAGCGTTGCAGGGCCAGTGTCTCGATGACGCCGCAGAACGTTCCCAAAATTTCCTGGAAGCGCTTGGACATCTCCCGCTGGCCGTCCGAGTGCGGCTCCAGAAGGGACGATTCTCGCACTTCCGGCGTGAGGCAGAGCGTCTGAGCGTCTTCGATCGCCTCGGTTAGAATTTCCTCCAGCTTGGAGGGCTGAAATGAGGATGGAGTAATTCAAAAATGTGTATGGGTGATTTTCTACGCATTGGGAGAGGTTTAAAACCTCTCAAAAGCAGCGTACGTAGTTTATGAATTGCTCCTTAAAATGAAAGAAGAAGTTTATAAGAACGTCGGAGAAGCCCAGGAGACTTCTAGAGAACAATCATGGAATTGCAGTAAAGTTCACGAGAGCCTCATAATGGAATCTATGACAAAAGGTTGAAGGGACAAAAGGTCGAATTGAACGCAAAAGAACGAAGGGGCAAAATGTCGAAAGGACATAGTTTCGAATTGAACTTAGAGGAACGAAAGGTCGAATGGACAAATAATCAAATTGCAATTAGAAGGACAAAAGGTCAAATAGGCAAAAGATTGAATGGACAAAACATTGAATTGAACTTAGAGGAACAAAAGGTCGAATGGACAAAAGCTCGAATTGCAACTAGAGAGACAAAGGGTCGAAGAGGAAAAAGGTCGAGTGGACAAAATATCGACTTAAACTTAGAGGGAAAAAAGATCGAATTGAACTAAGAGGAACAATTAGAGGGACTAAATGTCGAATGGACAAAAAGTTGAATGGACATAAGGTCGAATTCTAGTTATGTCCCTCTAACTTGAGAGGCAAAAGGTCGTATGGACAAAAAGATCAAATTGAACTTAGGAACAAAAGGTCGAATAAACAAATGTCAAATTGCAATTAGAAGGACAAAAGGTCGAAAAGGCAAAAGGTCGAATGGACAAAACATCGAATTAAACTTAGAGGGAAAAAAGATCGAATTGAACTAAGAGGAACAAAAGGTCGAATGGACAAAGGCTCGAATTGCAATAAGATGGACAAAAGGTCGAAGAGGAAAAAGGTCGAGTGGACAAAATATCGACTTAAACTTAGAAGGAAAAAAGATCAAATTGAACTTAGAGGAAGAAAAGGTCGAATGAACAAAAAGTCAAATGAACAAAAGGTTTAATTGCAATTACAGGGACAACATTTTGAAGGGGAAACATGTCAAAGGGGAAAAAGGTCGAATGGACAAAAAGTAGAATTGAACTTGAGGGGCAAAAGGTCGAATGGACAAAAAGTTAAATTGCAATTAGAGGGACAAAGGGTCGAATGGACATAAGGTCAAATTACAGTCATAGGGACAAAAGGTCGAAGGGGCAAAATGTCAATAGGGCAAAAGTTCGAATTGAACTTAGACAAACAAAAGGTAGAATGGAAAAAAATGTCGAATTGTAATTAGAGGGACAAAAGGTCGAAGGAGAAAAAGTTCGAATGGATAAAATATCGAATTGAACTTCGAGGGAAAAATATCGATTTGAACTTAGAGGAACAATAGATCGAATGGACAAAAGGTCGAATTTCAATTAGAGGCACAAAAGGTCGAAAAAGAAAAAGGTTGAAAGGATAAAACATCGAATTGAATTTAGAGGGACAAAAGGTCGAATGAACGAAAAGTCGAATTGCAATTAGAGGAACAAAATGTCGAAGGGGAAAAAGGTCGAATGGACAAAAGGTCGAATGGATAACTGTCGAATTGAACTTAGAGGAACAAAAGGTCGAATTGCAATTACAGTGACAAAATGTCGAAGGGGAAAAAGGTCGAATGAACAAAAGGTCGAATTTAACATAGAGGAACAATACAATAGATACAAGGTCGAAATGGACAAAAAGCCGAAGTGGACATAAGTTCAGAAAACCAACATCAAAATGGACAAAATATTGTTTAGAAAATTTTCGCTTATTCTAAAGAAAGACAGTTATCTATTTTTAGAAGGAAAAATATTTGAGAGTCACCCATTATCCTCGAACAATTTGACCAGTCTATTTATTTCGACCTTTTCTTCATTTCGACCATACTTTCCATTCGACCTTTTGTCCACTTCGAACTGTTGTTTATTCGACCTTAGAGAGAAAAAAGATCAAATTGCACTTAGAGGAACAAAAGATCAAAAGGTCGAATGGGCAAAGGCTCGAATTGAACTTAGAGGGACAAAAGGTCGAATGGACAAAAGATTGAATGAACAAGAAGTCAAATGGACAAAAGGTCTAATTGCAATTAGAGGGACAAAATGTCGAAGGGAAAAAGAGGTCGAATGGACAAAAAGTAGAATTGAACTTGAGGGGCAAAAGGTCGAATGGAAAAAAGTTAAATTTCAATTAGAAAGACAAAACGTCGAATGGACAAAAAGTTTAATAGACATAAGGTTGAATTCTAGTTAGAGGGACAAAAAGTCAAAGGAGCAAATGGCAAAAGGACAAAAGTTCGAATTGAGCTTAGAAAAACAAAAGGTCGAATAGAAAAAAAGTCGAATTGCAATGAGAGGGACAAAATGTCAAAGGGAAAAAAGGTAGAATTGAACGTAGAGGAACAAGAGATCGAATTGCAGTTAGAGGGACAAAAGATCGAATGGACAAAAAGTCGAATGGACGACAGGTCGAATTTCAGTTAGACGGACAAAAGGTTGAAGGGGCAAAATGCCGAAAGAACAAAAGTTCGAATTGAGCTTAGAGGAACAAAAGGTCGAATTGCAATTAGAGTGACAAAATGTCGAAGGGGAAAAAGGTCGAATGGACAAAAGGTCAAATTGAACTTAGAGGGACATTTTATAAGTAACTTTAGTTATGTGTCTAGGGACTTTGATGACTATCTGAACATTTTTAACGAGTACAAAAGTTCAATAAGGTCCTCTAAATATTGAGAAAATCTTTTGAATGGAGTGAATTTTAATATTTCAAAGAAGCTCAGAGAACTTCGGAGCACTCTAAGTGAATCTCTAAATGAGACTCCGAAAGTTCAAAAAAGTTTACCACATTTTGAGAATGTACTTTTATTAATTTTCTGAGACTCCCTAAGGTTCACTAGAGTGCTTAGAAGTTCTCTAAGGTTCTTTGAAATATATACGCCATTTTGAGAATGACTCTGAGAATCCTAAAGCAGTTATGAAAAACATCAAAGAGTTCTCCGTAGGCTCTTTGAACCGCTGCCCAGGATACTTAAGTAAGTCAGTAAACCAGAGAGTTCTAGGGAAACGGAGGTGAATTTTATAGAAATTCGGTGAACTAAATAGAGATTAGCAGTTCGAAGAAGCTCACGGAAATTCGGAGAAGTCTAGGAGTCTAGTCTTCAGTGAGATTTATTAAATTCTTAAAGTTCAAGCAACATCAAAATAGCTGAGATATTAAAGAAGTTTAGAAGAATTTTAGAAAGCTCCATAGTCATCTAGAAAAAGTCTAGGAGAATTTTAGATAAATTCAGTTAGTTTGGTTTCAAGATGTTTAGCGAATTACAAACAAAACTTAAGTGCTTTATATGTAACCTCAGAGAGACTCACCAAACTCCAGAGAAGTTAATGAGTCTAAAAGTGACTTGGGAACCTTAAGGTCTTCAGACAAGTTCATGATCTTTTGAGAAGTGAAGAAGCTGAGTAATCTAGGAAAAAATCAGAGAGACTTGGAGAACCATAAAACTTCAGGGAAACCTCAAAGATGTTTAGAAGAACTTTAACTTTAAGTTCAAGCAAAGCTCTCCGAATCTCAAAAGCCCCTTTAAATAATTTCTGCGAAATTCTGATAAATTCAGCAATCTTCAGAGAGGAGATTAGTTAATTTCAAAGAGGCTCATGGAACTTCTGAACAGACGTTCCCTGAGTCTCTCAGGGAGCCTTAGAGAGACTCAGGGAACGTCTAAAAAAATCATAGGATACTTACAGTGACTTTGGGAAACTCAAAGACGTTTCGAAGAATTTCATAACTTCAATGGAAATCTGTGATTTCGGAGGAGGCCTCTTACAGCTACTACAGTAGTTGAAAGAAACCCACGAACTTCAAAGAACCGAAGTAGTCTAGGGAATCTCACAAGCCTTTAGAGGAGTTCTGTGAACGAAATTCAAATCTTTAGACAAAGAGAAAAACTTTGGACACCATATTAGAAGAATTCAGGGATCCTCATAAAAGTTCTGTGTTCTTCAAAAGGTTTAATGAAGCACCAGAAAAGTTCTGGGTGCTTCAAGGAAGTTCAGATTAAAGGGTATTTCAGTGAAGATTGGGAAAATTTAAAGAAATTTTGAGAAACATCAGAATGAGGTTCTCTAGGAGATATGTCCAGGTAAACATCAGAGAAGTCCAACAGATCTTCAGAACATCTTGAAACATTAATCCCGGATACTACCGAACACCAACCCCACACAAACTTACCAAGGACGTCGCCCCGGCGAAATCAGCCACTGTAAAGTCCCACGTCTCCTTCTCGTGCAGCTTCTTGACCTTCTCGTTTGCCTTTTTCAAAATCGTAGACAAACAGTTCAGCCGTAGCTCGTCGATGAACTTCAGCACAATGTCCAGCGCTTCGCTGGGTAAATCCAACCGGATGAGGGTAGCGTAGGAAACCCTCACGTAGCGCAAGCAGTGCGGCAGCCACGTGATTAGATAGTTCAACGAAAGATTGGTCGCCGGCCAGGTGGGAAGTCCTTTCATGCTACTCGCCAGCAGCGAACGTTGGTTGCTCGTCGGAAGCAGGGCCGCCTTCAAATACAAGCAGAACTGCTCAATTACGGTTAGAATGATTCGCTTGAAGTTGCCCGGCTTCGGTTGACCTGCTCCCCTTAGTTCACCGGTGAAGTAAGCCTGCCCCAGTCGCCAGAGATCCGGAAACTGGCTGGCCGCTATCTCGGTCATTTCCTCGCAAAATTGCACCCTATTGGGAGTGGCATTCGGGTCGGCACGGGACTTCGGTTCCGTCGGATTAGCCTCCTTTCCGGTGTACTGCTCGTACGTTTTGAGGAACGTATCTTCCAGATACTTTGCCCGAGCATCGATTGCATCCCAAGCCGGGTCTTCGATTACAAGTTTACTGGCCACGCTGGTTCCCGCTTGCTGAGCTTCCAAGCTGATCAGAGCTTTAACCAGCTTCTTCTGTTGCTCCACTCCCTGGGGCATTTCCTTAATCTTGCTGTGCAGCTGCTGTCTGATAGCAAGAATTTTGTGATCGACTTCCTCCAGGACTTTCATAAATATCTATCGAAAGAAAAACCCCTAATAAGTTCGAAACCTCCACAAAAACATAATCCCCTAGCACTTACCGGAACCTCCGTCTTCCCAAAAAGATTCTTCACCCTGGCGTAGTCGTTCACCACGATATCAAACTCATTCTTGGCCGCACTCTTCTCCACCGAGTTCGGCAAACAGAACAGGAACTTATGCCGGGACAATGCGGACAGGGCTGCCCTGGTCGCATCCGCTTTCTCCTTCCTGGCCAGCACATCTTTGAACAGCTCTTGTGAAGCGTCGATAGAATTCTTGATCGCCTTTTCCAGATCATTGACCTGGTCCTTCCCGTGCATCTTGGCATCCTGCGTGACGCGATCCCGCATGACCATCAAGGTATCCAGCTGATCCATCACTGAACCGGCGTTCGATTTCAGAAACGACAACTGCCCTTCCTTCTGACTTTCCACCCTGCGCCGCAGGTAGGACAAGCCCGCCTTCAAATCTTCGAACGACGTCGCGTGGTGATTCTCCAACAGGAACCACCCGGGAAGAAAGGTTTCCTGCGACAAATCCCCCGAGCCCTCCGGAAATATATCCCGCAAATCTTCCGGAAACTTTTTGTCATTACCCTCGATTGACAGACCGAGCGGGTCCTCCTGAATGTACCCCGTCGGTGCTAGCGACCTTCTTCCCCACGCCAGCGACTGCATCGGCGATTCTTCGACCCAAACGGCGGACTCCTTCATCGGCCCTATGGTCTCGTAATACGCCCGGAACTGCACCGTACTCGTCCCGACGCCTCCCACCCGCGTCGTCACAATAATGTCCCCTTTGCCCTTGGCCGCACCGGTTCGGGCGATGATTTTCTTGTCGGACTTCCACTCGGCCGACAGAAGACAATCGCAGCCGCAAATGGTCAGCCCAACCAGATCGCTCACCTTGGAGCCCAGGAACTCGCCCCGGATGGTGACTCGCGTACCCGGGGGGCCCTCCTTCGGCGAGAGCCCCGTCACGATGGGACGATTTACCATGGCTGAACGCTATTTCACACCGATAACGACGATAACAATTTTTCACTTAATTCGTGTAATTTCTGCAAATAAAACGGGAACAGTTTACAAATTTTGCGAGTAAAACGTAAACATTCGATAACTGTCAAACTTCCGTACCCGGTAGTGAAATGAACACTCTGATGGTGCGAGAACAAACTTCGAGCAGTTGCACAGTGGGGCCAGTGCGAAAAAAGTCTCTCAAAATTTGGGCGAACGACAATAAAGTCCTTTAGGCCGTTCGCAATGCTGATATTGCTGAGTTTCAAAATTGACCACTTTGTCAAGCAGTTTTGGCGTGACTTTCTACCAGCGATTTCACAAAACAGGACCAACTAATTTCTATTTTTTATGAAACGCACAAATGTTGGATACTTTTCTCGTGGTTCTAAAAGAAAAAAATCTCAAAATAATGTTTTATTTCAAAGTTCAAGTGGTAGTAAACGTTATTTTAACTGCTCGAAAGAAGTGGTTAATTGTTTTAAACTACTCGACAATTCTATAATGCTGCCGGATCGCCATTGTGGTAAGCTAAACACCAAGGAGCTATTCGCTTCCCCAGCTAATCACAAAGGATGCGGTTAACACCCGCCGTCCTGACTGCGGTGGCTCTGCCAATAGAGTCAGTCTTGCCACCGCAGATAATCGTCAAATAGGACGAAGCAGGCAGTGCCCGAAGGAGCGTTCGCCTGGGTAGCTCACTGCGGTAGCTACCGGTATTGCCGGGTTCCAACAAAGGAGCCAGACTCACCCTCAGCTAAAAGTCAAGCCGCAGAACCGCTGCCAACCGTCGTCGAAGGGCCCCACCGAACAGTAGCAGCAACAGCGTGGATGAGGATAGACGTCTAAAATTGATTCCTTCTAGTTGACCCTAATCAGAACGACTTTTGGGGAAGTACCCTTGCCCATGGTCAGCTATAGGTTGGCAGGTAAGCCGTATCTAACAGCTTCAACAAAGTTTGCCAAACCTCTACTAAGTTCCCTGACCTTGTATAAAATTTCCCGCTCTTCAATGAAGTTCCTCAAATTGCTCTGTAATTCGCTAAACGTCTACAAAGTTAACTGAACTAATATATGAAGATCGTTGTATTTCTACGAAGTTCTCTGAATTTTCTCCGCCTCTCTCTGAGATCTTCTCGATCGATCGAGTGAGGTGGATGTCGGCCAATGATCTTTTGAATAATTTCACTTAACTAGGTATTTTAGCTAATTTAGAAATCCGTTGAAATCTTATGAAGCTTGTTTATTTCATTCTAAAAATAAGTCATGAAATTCCTGATTTGCACAATTTCTAACGTAAATATACCATTGATATGTCGCTCTTCCAACGTAAGCCTCAGCACAGCTTGAAATCGATCTCCATATCGAAACCGCGCTTCTCGTACTCTACCATGTGCTGCTTGATCATCTGTTCCACGTTGATGCAGTCCATCTTCTCCTGAACGCGCGTCTTCAGTGGATTCTCGATCGCGTCCATGATCTGATAGCGCAGCAGATTGGGAAGAATGTTGACGACCGCTTCGACGACGTAATCCAACGTGCCGGCACCGTCGCAACGAACCTGAATGTTACCCAGCTCCAGTTGGATGTCGTTGAGCTTGGGCTTTTTGCGCAAATCCAGCGGCTGTTGCACCTCGAACGACACCTTGATATGTTCCACGGTGAATTGAGCCTGCCCCGCTCGGGACACCATACCTCGGCCAACGGAAACCTCCCACTGCGTCGAGCCCATGATCCTCTGCGTTCCGACCTGCATCGTCAGCGCTACCGTATTGTTCTGCATAAGTATTCCAATGTCGCCGTATCGGTAGAAGCTGGACACTCCCCGGATCCAGGTGTGCGACGTATGCATTCCGAAGATTCCGGCCGTAGTGTTGTAGTCCGGGATCAGGAAGGGGTCGAACTTCTTATTGCGAACTAGCGTGCGAGCTTCTCCGATGGCCATGTCCAGCGGTGAGATCGAGTTCGGAAACACGATGTTGTACTCCGTGGTCATGTTCTCCACGCGGGTGTCGATTTCGGCGCGGATTTTCGAGTATGCTTCGCTCAGCATGAAGGGTTTGATAGTATCGAACACTAAATTTGAGGCCGAATTGACTACACTCTGGAAGATGCTACCCATGAAGCCAAGATTTTGGAAATCCATGGACATATCATCGAAGGCGATGTCTAAGCTGATGTCCTGCGTGCGAACCTTGCCTTCGCGATCGACCTCCAGCGATACGTTTCCTAAAATTGGATTCTTCAGAGCGATCGTTCACCTGAGTTTAGAAGCGCGACCTACCTTTGGTCATGACGTTCTTCAGCACCACCGTAAATGGACCTTCGGCTCGGTTGAAAAAGGTACTCATCGTGTAGTTGCCCTTGACGAGCATTTCGTCGATCTGAACTCCCGTTTGAACTTTCATCGTGTTCAACTCCGTTTTGAACATCTTGATGCGAAACTTGGACAAACCGTAGGCCATCACATTCTTCATGTGCATCTTGGCGATCGAGAACGACTGCTTGATCTCCGGAATAGGCATCGGATCCGGAACGGTAGCCCCTGGCAGCCCAACCGGATCTTCCTGTTTGTACAGATCGATGACGGCGAACAACTGGGCCGACATAAGATTTTCCCCAACCTGGTGGTTGTGCTGGTCCACATCTTCGGGCGGCGATTCCTCCGCGGAGGATGATTTATCTACGGGACAAAAATTTCAATGTTTCAAATATTCGGTCCATTCACACGCGATCGCCATTTTGACCCCGAAGTGCCTACCCTCGTCACATCGAACCGAGCTGATAAGAAGGCAATTGAACAACAATAGTGCGATTAGCAAGCGTGCTCCGAGCATCACTAATTTGAATTGCTGACGGTGTCTTAACGTCTATCTTCTTCGGGATGATCACTCAGACTGAGGCTGGGCAGCGTGAGTCAAGCAGAGTAGTTGTTATCAACCGACGTTGTCTGTAGTGTGTGATTCGGGAGAGAGTAAGAGAAAGGCCTTGCTGTTCTGAGCATCCTCTTGCTTTAAAATCGTTATCAGCTGGAGTTTGTCATCTTTCCTCTTGAGGAGAACTTTCGGCGCATTAGAAAACCACAACTCTATACTTTTAATACTTTATTTTAAACACGGATACATTTCCACTCAGAATTCAAGAAAGCGGAAAAATATGCATAACACTACGTAAAGAAAATTTATTTTTGAAAGCATCCACCGATTGTCAATTCTTCTTAGGTCCTCCTTACCAGCAGCAGCAGCCCAATCATGACAGATTGCATTTGTCCTTGGAACTATTGCCACCGACCGGAATTCTACTGCGGGCAGGATTACGCCCATTGGTTGGTTCTCCTTCTCGGGTGGCACGTGCCCGTTCGTCTTCTTCTTCCTGCATCGAGAGGGCCAATGCCCGTGCCAAGGCCTCATCTTCGGACATGCTGCCCTGAACGGCAGCCACCAGCTGACTAGTATTAGATCTCTGTTGTTGCGGAACGGTTCTGGAGCTCTGCTCCTGCTGCTCCTGTTGCTGCCACTGAAGCGATGCAGAAACAGCCTTAGTCCGCTGCGCAGTACCAGAATCACCACCTGCAGTAGCTGATCGCTTACATTCGTGATCCGCCATGTGTCGATGCTTTAGGCAGTAGTTCTGTTTGCAAACTCCACACGAGAACGGAATCAGTTCCTTCTTTTTGCAGTTTTTAAACGTACAGCGATTGGTGAAGATCTTCGGCTTCTCCAACTTGCAAAATTGATCAATATGGGCTCCGACGGTCACATCCGGTGAAACGTCCCGGGGCGTTGGGACCGGTTCACTGCACAGCGGACAGATCGGTACCTGGACGTCTCTCTGGTAGGCCGAAGGGCAGGAATGTGTTCTGTAGCTAAAGTGCTCCGAGCTGTAAGGACGCCATATCGAACATTAGGTTATTCTATACCTCAAGATCACTTGTAGCATTGTTATCATTGAATACTCACCAGAAAATTTCACCACAAGCATCGCATTTCATCGGGAGGAAATCTGAAGAGGAAAACCAATACCGTCTTAACATTAGCATAATTCTATTCAAATCTATTGCTGAAATGAACCATCTTACCAAGCTTGCGGCAGAACTCTTCCGAACAATGTTTACCCAGATGAGGGAATTCCATTTTGAAGCTCTAATCAAATTTACTTCCGCACTACACAACAATCACCACTCGTTCCTGGCAACTGAGGAGATTCAACTCACTTTCACGCACTGAATGACGTCAGTCTGTGGTGCTTCCTCAATATAAATACATACAGGAGACTGTGGACAGATGCTTCCAAAATATGCTAGATACTTCTAATTTCCTTAATCGTGACTAAACAAAATTCTTTTGTTTTCTGCTGATACGCTCCGTGATGGTGACGAATCACTACTTGCGCCAATCGAAAAACGAATACGAATGATGCAATTTTTGACGTTTCCCCATGCCATTCTCACGACTGCTCGACTTTCCTGATTGTTTGCAGCGGCACCGACCAAGATTTTGTTGCAGGTTTTGAAAAATCTGCTACACGGTAAGAATAAAAAAGTCCCCAGCGGTGGTCAGTTCACTTTTACCTACTTTTGACTAGTTTGTCTCCTTTCCTCCTTCTAGAGCAACCGTAACGGTACGCTGCTAAACTCATTTTAGCAGCCCTCATCATAGCGCAGCTACCGTATCGGGGATTGCCAGACGAGTAACTAAAATAGCAGTCGGCTTCTCGGTGAGAAGCGCGTTACCACAAACGAAGTGACAGACGACTAACTGACGAAGAAATCCATTAAAATAATGTGGTTCACTGTAATAGAATTTTCTTGGAAGCTTGTGCCATCATCCACCAGATGGGTTAGTTTTTTTGTTTTGATTTGAACAAAGTTGATTTTTTTTTATATAATGCGTTTATTTTTCCAGGCTCATTTGCTATAGCTTTGCGGAGCCAATATTCATTGATTAGATTACAAAATTACTTAAAACTAACGTTAGTAAAGCGGGGGCCGATTACTCGCGGCTATCTCGAGGTTAGGGGTGACAACTGATGAAAAAGACAAACATGGGGGTACACCGATGGGCAGCTAACAACTTGGGAGAACACAAGATGACACTAACTACTAAATCCTCAGATCTATCCGTTTTAAAAACACATAAATTAAATTCAAATAGTCGAGATCTCGGCTCGCCAAGACATCTCTAACGGGTATCGCGGGTTGTTTTCCTCGGGCCCTGAGGGATGTGGATAACTCAGATCTGGCAACACGGTGTAAAGTACACGACCAAACAACATGATCGATATCGTGATAACCACTGCCACACGCACATAAATTGCTGCCTGAGAGCCCAATTCGATAGAAGTGCGAGTCTAACGAGCAGTGATTGGACATAAGCCTTGATATAACTCGTATAAAGTCGCGGCGCATGTCCAACCCTTTGAACCATGGTTTGTTCGACACCTGTGGGAGAATAGAATGTAACCATCTTCCCAATTAGGTGTTTCGTGTCGTTTCTGCTTAGAATTTACGATAGAGTGCGCTTCATTCCATAATTACGACATCTAGCGGAAAATATGTGAAGCATGATATTACTAACGATACTACATAGATGTCAGCACTATCAACGTTTAGAACTACCGTATGGTAACTCAATACCACTGGGTAGTGATTTGAAGAGTTTTTGTTTTTTAATGTTATTTATGTAACTTACGTAACACCTACGGCATCAAATCACGTTTTAAACATAGTTTAGGGCATTTCTACTTAAAAAAAAAGCTTCAAAAACTGTTTATAATTACGCTTCTTATCATTTTTCCGGAGTTTTTACCATGCCGATGAGATGCTGCGCGTTCAATTGCACCAGCAAATACTTTAAAGGTTCCGCAGTGTATTTCCACCGTTTTCCCTCCAGCCAACATCGAGTGAGGAGATGGCTGAGGCAATTAAAAATAGCAAAGAGAGGATTCGATTTTCCGGCATCGAGAGTTTGCTCCATACACTTTTCTGCCAAGCAATACCTGGATCGTGGTGAGTATTATAGATTGCCATTAAGCAATGTGTCGATAGAATCTACTATTACTATTACACAATAATTGAATAATTTTAGGAATGGGAAAACTCAAGGCAAGAGCGGTGCCAGACATATTCCTCCCGGGTAAAACCAATGCAGAGCCAAGCGTGGGGCCCAGTATAATAAAACCAGAGGTAAGTTTTTACTTATTGCTTGATGAACTGTTGATCCGTTGAAAATATATAAAACAAGTTGTCTTCCTCTCGCATGGCTACCACAGAGTAATTTTTGTAACTACATCTTAAATATGTAAACGATTTCTTTGTTTGTGTTTTGCAGGAAGCATCTACAGTACGTGTAGAATCTACTGCATCGGATGTAGAAAATACCAGTGAACCAACCAAAGATGACGAGCAGGATCCCCTAGCATTTAGCGAGTCATCAAGCGATATGAGTTGGTCTTACGATGACTCAATCCGTAGCACTGAAGAACCGCACGCCTCATACAAGCCACATGTGACACAGCCATGCGAAAATACTATTTTTTACTATTCGTTAGAAGACTACGGTGCTATAGAGGAAATTCAGGCACACCATTTCGAGCAAATATTTCGTAAAAAGCGGTCCTGTAGTAACACTCTTCCTTTATTGAATCCGTTCAAAGCTTGTCGCCGTTCGAAGTATTGGTACGGTAACAACATGTCGAACCATTTACATGATTCCCGAATACTGTCATCTAGCGGACGATATGGTGGGAGTTCTAAAAACTCCGTGTCGTCCATCGGAGGAACTACATGGGGTTCTTCTATCAGCGTCCGATTAAGCTCATTTTCTCTATATAGTTCAACTCTACAAGCATATCAATTCAATTAGGCCCGATGTACACCTGCGGCAAAACACGCACGGTACCGCCGCGACAACGCAAACGCGGTTTAAATATGGGTATTTCTAAAAAGCGTTTGCGTTGTCGCGGCGGCACCGCTAGGTGATTTGCTGTACGTGTACATCGGGGCTTAGACTACGTGTTGTCACTGTATTTCAAGAACTTACCGTTTCTGTAGTTCCGCTTTCGAGCCTCACGGAGGCACCAAGTGAGGCCGCTTCTTGTTTTAGATCTGCAACCGTAGTTTTTTTTGTTTATATGTTAAAGGTATCGGAATTTCCATCTGAATTTCACTGTCATCTGGCGGATGGTACGACGGGAGTTCTATAAACTCTGTGTCATCAACCGGAGGAACTGTATCATCGTCTTCTATTACCGTCCGATTTAGCTCCTTTTCTCTGTATAATTCAACTCTACTAGCAGATGAATTTAATTAGACTACATGTTGTCAATGTATTTCAATAACTTACCGTCTCAGTAATTCCGCTTTCGAGCAGGGGGTAAGTCACTCTGCCACCTTGTGTCCGTGCTTATTGTGTTTCTTCGGTGTTTTTGGGTGTCGGAAGGTGTTTCAGCGTGTCAACATAGTTGTCAAAACGTTGAGTGAAAAATAAAGTTTTCTGGAAACCACTATATCTATCACAGCTGATTCCAATGCGATGTGTTTGCTGTTGATTGGAGAAAGGATAACAATAAACAATAAATTTACTCCTGCCGAACGTGCTGCGATACGGATGAACGTGGATCATGGTGGACCAAGTCAGAGAACAACACACACTGGATTTGCACGCGGAAAAAACGGAACAGCTGACTGTATTTTTTTTTTTTTTTTATTAATGCGTTTATTTTTCCAGGCTCATTTGCCGTAGCTTTGCGGAGCCGATATTCATCGTTTGGGTACAAAATTACTTAAAACTAACGTTAGTAAAGCGGGGGCCGATTACTCGCGGCTTTCTCGAGGTTAGGGGTAACAAATTGTAACAAACGGGTGGCAGGGTAGGGATTGAGAACACAAGGTTTTTTAGAGCAATGTGCTCTTGATCTAGAACTAAGCGACATACTGGAGAAAAAGACAAACATGGGGGTACACCGATGGAGACCTAGCAACTTGAGAGAACACAAGATGACACTAACTACTAAATCCTCAGATCGATCCGTTTTAAAAACACATAAATTAAATTGAAATAATCGAGATCTCGGCTCGCCAAGATGTCTCTAACGGGCCGCATAGGTTGTTTTCCTCGGGCCCTGAGGGATGCGGATAACTCGGATCTAGCAACACAATGTAGGGTGCATGACCAAAGCACGTGGTCGATATCGTGATAGCCACTACCACAAGCGCACAAATTGCTTCCTGCGAGCCCGATTCGGAAGAAATGCGAGTCTAACGAGTAGTGATTGGACATGAGCCTTGATATAACGCGTATAAAGTCGCGGCTTATGTCCAACCCTTTGAACCATGGTTTGTTTGACACCTGTGGGAGAATAGAATGTAACCATCTTCCCAGATCACTCTCATTCCATTTTTGTTGCCAGTTGGTGAGGACGTGCTGACGGGTAATTGAAAAAAATTCCGCAAAGGCGATTTGTCGATCAAAAATATCGCCTTCCATAGCGCCCACCTTAGCTAGCGAGTCCGCTTTCTCATTACCCGGAATTGAGCAATGAGATGGGACCCAAACTAAGGTGATAGTATAGGAGCAGTTAGATAAAGTACTCAATTTAGCTCGGATTTCGGTCAGGAAATACGAGGAGTGCTTCATCGGCCTCATTGATCGAATAGCCTCCAACGAGCTAAGGCTATCAGTAAAAATAAAATAGTGATCAGATGGTAGTGAGGCAATTTGCTCTACTGCGTAAAATATGGCTGCTAGTTCCGCAACGTATACGGAACAGGGTTTTTGCAGTTGATATGAGGCGCTATGAAATTCGTTGAATACTCCAAATCCAGTGGAAGCGTTTATAGTTGACCCATCTGTGAAAAAACTCTTATTGTTACTAATATGGTGGTACTTGTTTGCAAAAATTAAGGGAACAACCATCGACCGATGGTGATCTGGTATTCCACGGATTTCTTGCAACATGGTCAGATCAAAATTTACAGAGGAACTATAAAAGTCTTGGAGGCAAACACGAGAGGAATTGAATGAAGAAGGGCCAATCTCCAGCGTAATGTAATCGTAATAGAGACTCATGAATCTTGTTTGAGGATTTCTGTCGAGCAGCTTCTCAAAGTTTTCTATTACCAATGGGTTCATTACTTCACAACGGATAAGAAACCGAAAGGACAGCTCCGCGAAACGATCTGTCAGTGGAAGAACACCCGCGAGTACTTCGAGGCTCATCGTATGCGTAGAGTGCATACAGCCAAGCGCGATTCGGAGGCAACGGTATTGAACTCGTTGCAGCTTCAAGATATGTGTTTTCGCCGCGGATTGAAAGCAGAAGCTACCGTACTCTAGAACCGACAAGATGGTTGTTCGATACAACCTGATCAGATCTTCC